CCTCTGTGGAGACGCGGTCAGTGACAGGGTCGGTCCCTCTCCTCGCGTGGGGATTGCCGGGGTCCCCCAGGGGAAACTGGGGGGGAGGGCGGCATTTGGGACCACTGATCCCCAAAGGGTCCGAAAGGGGCTGCTGTCGCAAGCCGTCCCACTGACTGAGGTGGCCCCTCTGGACGAGCCCCAGCACCTCCTGCGCCTGGAGAGGCTGTGTGAGGCAAGGTCGTGTTTGCACCCTGCCTTGCTCAGGGCACATTGCGACCCCCGTCTCTCTGCACTGCCTCCCTCAGCTGGAACATGACCCAAAGCACTAACTTAAGATGTTAACATTTTAAGGGCGCAGAGGCCCTGTCAGTCACATCCAGCCCACTCGGATAATGTGGGAGCACAACTCTAGAAGGTCATCGAGCCCAGCCGTCTGCCAGCACACCTGCCACTGCAGCAAGAGCAAGCAGACTTTAAATAACCCTTTTTGTCCCTTTCCTGTCCACCTGTCATGGAAGAGCTCATTGCAGCTTCACAGCTACAGCTAACTGTTTCGCTCTTAAAGTAACAGCCAAGCCACTCTTTTCTATCAAAATATGCAGCATATCATTTGCAGATGAGTATTACGATACAGATCAGGCTAAGAAGCAACTACAGTTTTGATGAAGTAGAAACTTGCCTTTTGTGTTTGCTTTCCAGTCACACAATATTACCATATTCTCCCTGCTTGTTTCCTTTGTTGTCTCCTCTTCAAGTTGCTCTTCCAATGGAGCTACTCAACAAGGCCTGGATTAGTTCCTGCCTCCTCAGAGGCCCTGCTTTAGTTTTCTGATTCCTGCTCCCACCTGTTGCTTCCAAATCCCAATTGCTTTTTCTTTTCTATTTCCAGCTGTCACTTCCCACCAGCTATGTCCTTGCCTCCGTTGCCACCCACAACTGCCGTGGCATGTCCACAATCTGTGTTGTGCTTCCCCATGCAAACATGAGGCAAGAGGATCTGCCATCCGTTAGTCTTCTGCTTTCACCTACAGCAATGAGCTCTGTTAACTGCTGGGCACAAAAGGTAAGTGAAACATTGCAACTTTGTAAGTGCAAAATTATCAAATCCTTCCCAAGAGGGATGTCTCAAGGCCTTCCTGAAGCCCATCACAGTGTGGTAACTTCTCTCATGCTCTGCGTCTCGCAAAATCAATTAATGTGGATATCTTCACATTCAGACAAGGTAAACTTGTGTGTGGGGCTTGGTTTTC